ATGATGTCGAATGCAGTTAAATTTTACGATGAGATTTCATGAAACCTGTTAGGGGTGTTGTCTCTGACCTTTTCTGATTTATTGAGCGCCAGTATTCAAACAACAGATGTTGATTCTTTTATCTGTAGGGTTTTAACCCTGCATTCAAAATGAAATGCCATCTATCATTTCCCTATTAATTTAGGTAAGTTGTCATCCTATTGGTAGATCCGTTGTGCAGCTTTTTTATTGTGTGCTTTACTAACAAATTTGTCATATAATTATGGTTCTTTAATTAATTGTGTGTTAATATCTCGCTCGACAACGCAATGCATCATTCAATGAATGTCATGGATACTTATAACAGTAAACAATATTAAGGTTCCTGTAAAAGTTATCAATAGTTAAACATTCCCAGTCTTCTATAACCAGGACGATGACAAGTTAATCCTTTGGACACTAATCCTTTGCTATAGTAACTGTTTTCTATATATGCTTTTGTATGTTATTTTGTAGTCAGTTTAGGTCTTAGGTCTGGTACTGTCCGGACCTTGCTAATAAAGTTTAAAGTATTGGTATTCCGTCTTTGAATTACTATAACACGGAAAACGCCCGGTTATACCAGGACGATGACAAAATTCATTCGGCAAACTCGGAGACCGAGTTTAGGTGGAGTAGTGGCGAATATAACCAGGACGATGACAAGTTAATCCTTTGGACACTAATCCTTTGCTATAGTAACTGTTTTCTATATATGCTTTTGTATGTTATTTTGTAGTCAGTTTAGGTCTTAGGTCTGGTACTGTCCGGACCTTGCTAATAAAGTTTAAAGTATTGGTATTCCGTCTTTGAATTACTATAACACGGAAAACGCCCGGTTATATTCTTTAGAACACCACTTTTCAGAAATCATCAGCCTAATATATTCAAATTGATCTTTTTATGGTTTTACACAGAAACTCTCCTGCCCAATATTATGCATACTGTTGACTGTTTACCCTCTAAATATTTAACTAAATTTGAAATTTGAACTTTAATCTCACAAAACATGTTTTACCCCGCCGCATTTTTGCGCCTGTCCCAAGTCAGGAGCCTCTGGCCTTTGTTAGTCTTGTATGTTTTTTTAATTTTAGTTCATTTATATGTTTTGGAGTTGAGTGTGACGTCCATTTCCACTGAACTAGTACACAATTTTATTTAGGGGCCAGCTGAGGACCACCTCCGGGTGCGGGATTTTCTCGCTGCGTTGAAGAACAATTGGTGGCCTTCGGCTATTGTCTGCTCTTTGGTCGGGTTGTTGTCTCTTTGACATATTCCCCATTTCCATTCTCAATTTTTTTTGGTTTACTTATTAAGGCAATTTGTCACGAATCATTCCATGCAGGCCTTTATATACTCACGGTAGGTATAGTGTCCGGCTGGGATCGTGATTTTTCGAGTGATTTGATCGGGTTTTTTCGAGTGTGACCACTTTTTTTCGAGTGAATATGATCAAAATGTAAACAAACAGACTTCTTTTCTGGTAAAACGTGAAAAAAATATACTAGAACCTTATATACAAGATCATAGAAGGTTAATTAGTATTTTTGATAAAAAGATATTATCAACCCTAAATTTTTTTGTTCTAAAAACGTTTATTAGCCTTATAATGCTTTATTTCAAAATATAGATTAAAGCCATTTTTATACACATACCAATGCAAATGTCAACGGAAATGTGCACATGGAATCTATGTATGCTTGGATATACAGACGCTTTACAAAAATTCTTGCTTTTGCATTGAAAAGGACATTTTGGAGAGTAAAATCATTTTTATATGTATGTGTTTTTTTCGAGAGCAGTCCATGTTTTTTCGAGTGTGTCCTTGTTTTATCGAGTGAAAAAACAAAATTCCTTTGGCTTAAAATGTAAAATGCCAGTGCATTTACGTTTAAAAAATAATGAAAAGGTTCAAATAAAGTACTTTTCAAAGCACGAAACAATGCATTAAACCAGTTTGATAATGTTGTATTAACATGTACATTTCATAAAAAGTCATCCTTCATTTGAATTCAGAAATCTTCATATTAGTGTACCGATATGGATTGCATACAGTAAAAATTTAGTGATGTAAACAATCTTTGTGTGAGCTCAGACATGTTGGACTAAGACGTACGTACACATTTATAAAGCGGGTAAATGTGTTTTTTACAGAAAAAATATCCTTAATGTTTCATTTACTATTTGTCTTGATGGAAGTATTAGCTGTCTTGGTGTAATCAGGAGTGTACAGAATTTTACACCGGTGTTGAAAATAAATACACCCTGAGGCGCAGCCGAAGGTAGTATGCATTTTCAACACCGGTGTAAAATTCCGTACACCCCTGACTGCATCGAGATAACGAATGTATTTCTTATCTAGCGTTCGTTTATTCTTTTTATTCCCGGATATAAAATTGAAAAACAATCTTATGACCAACTCTCACTACACATTTTTCAACACCGACGTTGGCAAAAAATTTCAAAATCTTATTATTTTTATAATTATTATTTTTTCCAAAATTTTAATTTTCATTATTATGGCAACGATTTATTTTTTGGAAATTTTGGCATATTTTTTTTATCCCCTTGTGAACTAAGGTGGGGTGTTATTTACACCCGAGTAATTAACCAATCAGATTGCAAGATTCTTGCTTCATAAGAAATATTTTTTTATCGTTCTAGAAATGGAAATCAAGAACACTGCTCAATTGCTCCAACTGTGAAGAGGAGTCTGATCAAGCGTATGCTATGCTTGGTCACACAGTAATGAAGCACCAGCATAGCTAAAAAATGACAATGTATATTTGTGAGGTGAACGCATACCATATACACATTAATTCTTTTTTAATCATTATATAATAAGGATCGTATTGAAGCTTACAGATTATTTATTTCGTTGTTTATTGAATACATTGGACAAGTCCCCGAGTTTATCATCAGCTCAGTAGTCAGTACTTCGGTATTGACATGATTTATAACAAACCTTTCTAAAATTATTTACCTCCAAGGGGGACAGGGTAAGAGAAATATGGTCACTAAAGTCCTCTTCCTACCGACTCTTGCCAAAGTGAGACGTCCGTTTGACTGTGTGGGATGTTCACGTCCAGTCAACATGGGGCGTGTAGAGAGAGTGCTACGCTCATTGCACGTTGAGAACCCTTGCAACAGCTCTTTGAAGGGTCCGTAGGTTCTGTTACAGGACCTATTTATTGGATCTATTGTTAATTTGTTCTCGTCCTGAACATGCACGATACATTTGCCACTGGACGTTAAGCAACCAACAATGAATCATTTAAATTTGTCCGTTTATAAATCTAAAAATTATAAAGAGGCTAAGGTTTCAACTCCATCAGACAAAATTGACCTTAGATGGCTTTGGTTATATTTTAGGTCCTTTTTGTCATATAGCATAAAATTGTAACGTGTTGTTTTCATTTTTTATTGGATATTCCATTCAATTCAAATGTTATTGTAATTTATTAATTTTTATTGGGGGGGGGGGGGGTCCTCTTTTAGTACAATATTTGGGTTTATATTGAATTTTTTTGATTGTTTACTCCTATTCCTTAGTTTTCTTGCTCCTATGTTTTTTCGTCACTGTAATACATATCAGTCATGAAATTGTTGACTGTAAAAACAAAGGTAGCATGCAATGAAATTAAAAAAAAATATGAGTCCCTGTACTCGGTTCTTTAGACCGTTTTAAAACGGACTCATTGTTTTCTTATATATCGTAATACTGCTAGGTTATGGTAAAAAGTTTTCAGAACAGAAAGTTATCATTAAATTGAAAAAGGTTAAATTTTATCAACATTATAATATGTTTTTTTTTTGTGAATTATTGGGAATAAATAATTTGTCTTTCACTTACAGTTATAAACTAGAAAAAGTCAGTTTTTAAGAGCAAGAATGCCTTATTTCTTATCATATTTTCTTTAAAAAAAACGGATCATTTGTTAAAAAACCCGGACGTTTTAACTGTTGCTAGATCGAAAAAAACACGGACAATGCAAAACACTGAATTTTAGGCTAAGATTCAACGAAATTATGCATCTTTTGTGCTCAAAACATGTATAGTAGTCAAAATAGGATAGACAGTCATGAATTAAACTATTATAATTGTGAAATAGCAGTTAATTGACCTGATCGCATGTTTTATCACTCGAAAAAAACCGATCTACACTCGAAAAAAGTGGACAGATTCACTCGAAAAAAACACGATCTCCGCCGGACACTATACCTACCGTGATACTAGACAACAAAATAACGACACACAAGCAGTTTTGAACTTCAACGTACCATAAAGTTAAATAATTAGGAAAAACTGTTCAACTACTTTTTGAAAAACATTCATTTGCAAAGCAAAAGTATAAGATCCTGAAAATCTAACCAAGTAAGAAAGTATTATTGGACACATGCATAGTTCACATTTATTTTGAGGAAAATGATGACAAAAATAAGCACTCAATACGAGAATTTAGCATTTAAAGATGCGACGGCATTCAAAATTTTAACCAGACCATGTTTATGTATCATGTTTTAGTTCTTTTATCGTTTTTTTTAATTTTTTTTGTGAAAAAATTGATTTTTGAATCAATTATTTTGCGAATTAGAAATTTGGAGTTTTTTCCTTAAATCAATGGTTTTGATTAAAAAAATGGAAAAAAAGAGGCGGATAATACCAATGTGATCTTCAAAATTATCAGACAAAGACAGACTGTCAACGCCATGACAAAAGAAGAGAGACATCGAAAAGACGAACATATTAAAAAAAAAACAAAAAAAAAATCTAAAAAAAAGTTACTGAGCAACATTAACCCCAACAAAAACTGGGGTTAACTTAGATGCTCCGGGAGGGTTAGCAGAACTACTGACACCCGTCATCGATTAAAATACAACACTGTAAATATATTGCCAATTTGGCATTGTTTTAGATTTTTTGTTTTTGTTTGTTAACTAGTATAAATTAAAAGCGATGTCATTGAGTACTGTTTACTTACCCAAGTGCATTCATGTAAAATTTCTCAGTAATGTAGTCCCGGCAATTGCTATTTTCAAATGCCAAGTAAAATTTATAATCCTTTCTTAAAATTTGCATGCAATGTTTATTGTCGTTTTTTGAGCAACTTAGATTACCACAGTCGCCATAAATATCAACTTGTATGTGTTTCGACAACTCCTCGGCGTATACCAGTCTGTCGTTTGAAGTATGACAATTAGAAACAAACATAGCTACCTTCTTTGTTTTGTGTTCTGCATAATTGATTTTACTTAGGTCAGAACTGATATGGTCCTTGAAAGATATCCACTTTGCATAAGGTGTTACTATTGTAGAATCCGTTCGATATGTAGCAGTCCAGTTAAACATATTATCTAAATTCTTGAAATTATTTGCTGCCATTGGGCTTTCCAATGTATGAATTATCCAGATTTCGGATGACGTCCTATTGATTGCCCTGAGTACTTGCAAATCAAGAAAACTAACACCATCTGAAAATAAGCGAGCATTAACAACACTGTGGTGGTTTCTTGATAGTACATTACAGTTGTGTACATCGCACTGACGAAATGTTTCTGTTCCTGTACTTATACCCCAGAACGAAGGACCCCATTCTAACCAAATCTGTTTCGTATGGGACGGGCCGTCCTGAAGTTTTCCATGCGATAATTGGTGCAGTACTCTGTCTCCATTTCCTATATCCCATACACTTCGTATGTTCCTTTCATCAGACTGTTTAATATGTTCTCTATTTCCATTCCCTTCAGCGCGCACATTGATCATATTTAGATCGACAGGAAGCTGTTCTGATATGTTTATAAAGTTAAGCTCACATGAACAATTAGTCCTGTCTTTTAATGTGTTATATCCTAAAAACCAAAAATTATAATTGCTACAACCGTAAACTGTTGTTCTAATTAAACACAAAATCAGTATTATAATTTCCATGTTAAATCTTTTTTGTGCAAAAACATACTAGTTAACTTTTAACATTATTGTATTGTCTTTTTTTTTCTCTGTCAGTCTTTTGTACTATTATAGGAAGAAATGTTGGCACAGATTTATATTGCATTACTGGTAATTAATCCATAGTGACTATAGACATATTGGAACACATTTCATACTTTGCCTCATCTGTTATTTAAAAACACAGTAAACGTGAATAAATTGCACAGAACTTCTTCAGAAGTTGTTTATATTCCAAAATTTTATGAGATATCCTAAAGGTTAGTAGTGAAATAACAAAACAAACTTTAAAGTATTTTATATGTAAATAAATGCTAATTTGACATCATAAAGAGTATTTTCGTTAAATGATTTATTCGTTGTTTGATTTTGACAAATTTAATTTAAATTTACAAGCAACATACTTGTGCATTCATGCATAAATTATTTTTTTAAGACGCTTTCATCTCCATGAGTTTTCAATGCATATTAAAATAATTTTTTGTAAGTTTCCCATGGAGTTAATATATTAAAATTGTAAGCCTGCATGATTCACGTACGATATTATATGCAAACTCCAAAGGTCACACTTTAATCCCTATCAATATTAGCCGATTTACAACTTCTGACTAAAAGAGCATTTTTGTTATAAAACTTGTATATAGATATAAGAAGATGTGGTATGAGTGTCAATGAGACAACTCTCCATCCAAGTCAAAATTTATAAAATTAAACCATTATAGGTCAAAGTACGGTCTATATATATATGCTTTCCAGTTTGTTTTTGTGTTTTACATTTATAAATATAAAACAATTCAGTAAACATACATCATAGCCTACAGATTACATTTATTTGTAAAGATTGAAAATATCCTGTAAATGAACAGAATATAAAGTGGTTGTGTACGTAAGCCTTGATATAGTAGAGTAAAATGAATCATGGGTTAAATGGAAGATTTTTTTCACCACGACATCGTGCCCTTGGCAACATCTGGTTCGGTCCTTTTTGTACGATTATTTTCTACATATAGTTTAACATTTTTAAAGATATCACCGCAACAAGCTTCTAGCATATTTTTATACTTATATTGTTCTCAACTCATCCCACTGGTTTATATACTACTGATGATGTCACCACGGACAAAGTGTTCACCATCACTTTCATTATTTTTTTTGCTTGAAAGTCGGGAGAGCACAACATGATTTTGTGCCTGAATTTCAAAGAAGGGGGCAAAGGGGGGGGGGGGATTTCCAAGATTGGCGCAATCGTAGGCCCTGAGGGCAAATAATTATTGCGTAAAAAATAAAATAGTTTTATCATATTCAAATAGTATAATTTTCATCTTAACATAAGAAGCGAGTGAACACCAGTTATACGGGGTTTGTGCGAAGTGAATTTGATTATGTTGGTAAAGGTGGTACAAGTCCACCAGCAGGTCAAGTATATATAGTTCCAATTTTTCTTCCATTCCCAGATAACACAAATTTAAGTGTGTATTATTTTTTTTTATTTTCGGATACTTTAATTGGGTTTCAGGTTCATTATCATTTGTAATATGATCCAAAATGCGACTTAACAGGCTCCGTTGTGAGGGACACGAATAATGGACTGTGAAAGGATAATGTAACATAAAAATTGAAAACAACACGTTTAATAATTTCATGCGTCCGAAGCGCTTTTCTGGATTTACCTTCATCAGGAACGCTCAAAGCCAAACATTTGAAATCCGAGGGATGTATAAGTACCGAAACAGTTGAAGAGCTATATGACAAAAATACCTAAAACAAATAGCCAAATTCATCTAAGGTCAACTTTGCGTGAGGGAGTTGAAACCTTAGTTTCTTTATAATTTAAAAATTTATAAACGGACAATTTTAGAAAGGTTTGTTATAAATCATGTCAGTACCGAAATACTTACTACTGAGCTGATGATACCCTCGGGGACTGATAGTCCACCAGCAGAGGTATCGACCCAGTGATGATGATAAAATAGTTAAACTAACAAATTATTCAATAGACGAAGGAGGTTTTATTCGGATCTCCCTGATTATACTGACACGTGATACCGTTAATTCTGACTGAATATTTTTACTCTCTCTAATGAATTAGATTAAGTCTGTCAGTTACAAGTAAATTAATTAATACTCTCGACTTTATTAACACCTCAAGTACGAGAGTAACCCCTAGATTGATGCTTTAAATTTACCATGTCCATGCAATTTCTCAAGGGTTACACACACCTAAAATGTTGACATTATAGTACTTGTGCGTTGGTTGTTTTGTTTTACTGTTTTTTAAAGTCCCATACTTTCTAAATTGTATAATTTGATAGTTTAACAAATAAATATCTCAGAATAACTAATTATCAGTCAACATCGATTAACCGCATCTGTGAACAGAGCTATCATTTTCCTATAACATATGTAAGGATATGATATTAACACCATTTACACATCATGCATAGGGAATAATATTAATAAAACGTATCAATCATGTATTACAGATTAAAACATAGGAAATGCGAAGAAATAAATATATCAATTTTTACTATCGGCGCTTATCCAACAACACTGTGATCCTATAGCAACATGTTCATCGATTTGATTTCGAATACCCATACTGTTAGGTCAGTCGTATATAATTTCTTATCCCCTTCCTGGGGTGTTACAAATTTTATAACTCATTCAAGCCAAAAGAATCTTGGTCACTATTAAGTGACCAATCAGAACGAACTGGTGTTGCTTCGCATCACAGTGCAAAGCTATTGTTTCATACGATATTCACGCCATTTTGAAATTATTATGTAACAAATATATCGGTTCTCATTGGTTGCCTGATGATGTGGGTAAGATCTATTGGCTAGAATGAGATATAAGATTGGGAACATGTCCCGGACAGAAGAAGATATTAGAAACGGACAAAATTACAATATTGGTATTTAAGATCCGATTCGATACCCCATTAATGAATAATTATGCCTTTATAGTTTAGCTTGCTTATATAATTTGGAGTCAAATCAGTCATATTGATAAATAAGAGGAAGGACAAAGAAAAACAAGTTTCCGAGATATCATCTGGCTATATACGTATATACACCAACACTTAAAATACATATTACTGCCAATGATCTTGAAGAATTTTGTCAGAATACATGTATTCCATGTTATAAAACCAAATGATATATAAAAAACCAGCTACGCAAATAGCACATGATACCGCCGAATTGTGCTTTTGATTTTTAACGGGAATGATCTGGAATATTTAGGAAGCAACTAATAACAAGTAAGTTAAATGGCTGTGTAGGAAAACATGCATGAAGACTGTGTAGGAAAACATGCATGAAGACTGTGTAGGAAAAAATGCGTGAAGACTGTGTAGGAAAACATGCGTGAAGACTGTGTAGGAAAACATGCGTGAAGACTGTGTAGGAAAACATGCGTGAAGACTGTGTAGGAAAACATGCATGAAGACTGTGTAGGAAAACATGCGTGAAGACTGTATAGGAAAACATGCATGAAGACTGTGTAGGAAAACATGCGTGAAGACTGTGTAGGAAAACATGCATGAAGACTGTGTAGGAAAACATGCGTGAAGACTGTATAGGAAAACATGCATGAAGACTGTGTAGGAAAACATGCATGAAGACTGTGTAGGAAAACATGCGTGACGACTGTGAAGGAAAACATGCATGAAGACTGTGTAGGAAAACATGCATGAAGACTGTGTAGGAAAACATGCGTGACGACTGTGAAGGAAAACATGCATGAAGACTGTGTAGGAAAACATGCATGAAGACTGTGTAGGAAAACATGCGTGAAGACTGTATAGGAAAACATGCGTGACGACTGTGAAGGAAAACATGCATGAAGACTGTGTAGGAAAACATGCGTGAAGACTGTGTAGGAAAACATGCATGAAGACATCCATATGAAAATAGATATTAGGTGGCCTTCGGCTGTTTTCTGCTCTTTGGTCGGGTTGTTGTCTCTTTGACACATTCCCCATTTCCATTCTCAATTTTATTTTATTGCGTAAAAAATCAAAGTACTGAAGTACTGAACATCGGATGACCACAAGTTCTTGAGGATGGTCAAAAGCACTTGTCTCAGAAAAAAACAACATATCTCTTTACCTGAAACTGAGGTTAATGTACAGAGATATATTTTTTTCTGAGACAAGTTTGTGCGTGGATGATGAATAAATGACAGGAAATTCAACTTCACCGTAATAACTATTATATTGTAGTGATACAAATCAGTATACACTGATTTGTTGTTATATATTATATTAAAATAACAGTTACATTGTACATATATATATATATGATTTACGTAAACTATACTAGACCCCATCTTACTTAAAAGAATGATACAGCGGGCCAGTCCAAGGCTTTTCAGAAAGTTAAAACTTGTTTAGTATTAATTGCAAGATGGCGTGTATATCGACTGAAACTATATCTTCACATCGGGATGCGGAGCAATCACACCGTGAAGCGAAGCAATCATTTCCGGTATACAAAAACTTCAGATTACCCAGACCCAGAATTACTATATATAAAAAAAATTAGGTTTGAGGCAGCAAGATTGTGGAACTCACTTTGAAATGAGACTCGAGTCATGAATTAAAATATTGTATGAAAAATTATATAAATAGCTGGTGTTGGGACAAAAAAATATATTGTAATGCTAACCAGTACTACCTCGCAGCTGATTTACTCCTTGCTTCCTGTTACATTAAAAAGATTTCTCTGCTTTTTTATGGCCCCGCGACTTAGGCCATATAGTGTTACCCTTATCTTTCATTCCGTAACTTCCACTCCTAAAAATGGCTTCAGGCTTTTTTTGAGAGCCGGGCCATTCGTGTCGTTCCTACACATCTAGTTATGACTGAATGCTATTACTGACATTTTTCTGAGCTATTTACTATTTATTCTTTGCTTATTATTTTGCTATTTACTGTGCTGTTTCTGATTGCTTAGTTAAAATATTTTGTTTTTTTTTTAATTTTTGTTTTGTCCATGATTTTATATGTGCTCTGTTGTCATTGTTTTCATTATGCTGCAGTTTTTATGTTTTGCACGGATATTGCTTGTGTGTATAAGCAGACGTTTTCTATAATCGGTTGTAAGAATTCCGAAGAGCTAATATTACTTTTTTGTTTTGTATATATATATGCCTACTCTAAACAAAA